CTTCCTTCCTTTATTTTTCCCCTCGCTCTCCTTCACTCTCCTTCCTTCTACCATCCCTCCTTCTCTTCTTCCCTCATTCCCTTCCCTCCAGACAGAGTCTCACGCAGTTCAGGCTGGCTTGGAACCCACATTCCTCCCAACTCAGTCTATCCACTAAGAGGCCAACACCATCTCTTTTTCGTTGTTGTTGTTAATAATTACTTTCAAAAGCCATTTATTTCCCCCTAAATCTCACAAGTGAGCATGGGCGACTGTGATCTGACCATGGAGGCTGCAAAGGAGTCTCCTGCTTTCTTTCCTAGGATTTTGATTTATTTAAAAGCCAAGGAGGTGGGATGAGCCTGGCACCCCCCCCCACAGCGTGTGGGGGAGATGCTAGTGCTGATGCACCCCACCCATCCCCCACCGCAGACAGCCCTCAGGACTGCCAGGCCCATGGAAGCCAGAGGCAGGCGAGGTGCAGCCAGGTTCTGATGAAACCTGCCAGTCTCACACGGGGCAGCCGTGGGGCGGGAGGAGAAGCAGCGCCAGACCCCAACCTTCTCCCCTGACCCAGGAAGGATGGAGGACCAGGATACTTCGAGATGCCTGGAGCTGTGGCTCAGCCCCTCTGGGAGTTGGCCAGCCAGTTCTCTCTGGTTTTCCCCAGATACAGCCCCTGAGAGCAACGTCCATCAGAGGAAGATAAGCTCTGATCGTGTGCAGGCTGGCTTCCCAAGAGCCCAGCAGCCTGGTGGGGGGTGGCGGCCATGTTGAAGTCCAAAGATAGAGGTCAGGTGGTAATTAAGGGGTGCTGATGTTGCCCTGGACCTGAGGAAGGATGCTTCTCCTGGCATCCAGGTCTCTTACATACCTCTGCACCCACAGCTGCTTGGGGCCCCGCAGACCTTCTGGCCTTTCTTGGGGAAGAAGAACCAGTTTGTCCACTGGGGCCACTTCACTCTATGGGAGCCCAGGAAGGCCAGCGGCTTGCCCTGGCCCCTAGCAAGTTCCTGACAGATGTGGACTGTCCGTGTGTTCTGGATTTTAGTGTTGGGCATAGACAAGAATGATGCGGGGGGGGGGGGGAAGAATGCTGGACTTCTACAGGGATCTTATCAAACAGAGGAGACCTAGACCTGCCTTTGGATCATGCTATACCCAAAGGAAGATACCTCTCTCCATTGTGGGGAGTAGAAAATGCTACAAAACTCTTCCTTCTACAATTCCCCAAGGTGGGTGTGGTGGTTAATGCCTGTAATCCCAGCTCTCCAGAGGCTGCAATAGGAGGATTGTGAGTTTAAGGTCTGGACCAGGTGAGAACTGGACTCAAAAATGAGTGGATAAACAAACAAGTAAATAAAAAAGGAAGAAAGAATGAAGGAATAATTGAGAGATGAAGAAGAAAGAGAAGGAAGAAAGATCTATCTGAGAAACTAAGGCAGCTACCACGTTTGGATTTGATTTGTAAAACTAACTATTAAGGATTCCGAGCTTGTGGGGTGGGTGTCCCCTTTCAAGTCAGCTCTGCTTACTGGGGGCACTAGTACCAGGCCACGAGTTTGAGACTGGTGGTGCTAGTTGGGAGGAAATCAATAAGTGCTAACATGCCATTTTCACTGTGTGCCAATCTTTGCAGAGTGAGTTCACATCCCCAGTGTAGAGGCCTGGTTACCTGTGTGACTCCCGAGCAAGTCACTTTCAGAGGCCCAACTGCCCTTGGCAAAATCAGAACAATCCTATCTTCCCTTGGAGACTGCTGATCTGCTTTTGTTTCGAGACAGGTTCTCTGTAGGCAGCCCAGGCTGGTCTCCAACTCCCCATCCTCCTGCCTCCCTAAGTGCTGAGATTACAGGGCTGCTCCACCACGCCTGCTTTTCCTCCTAGATAGGTGATGATGCTCTTCCCCTGAAGAGTTTTACTGGTAAGGAATCGGAGGATCAGAGATGCCCAGAGCCTTCCACAGGGACACACAGAGCTAGTTTGATTCTACATGAACACTACCAGACCCATGGATCCTTGGAGAGTAACTGACATCACCCCGGCCTTGGGGAAGACGCTCCTATTGGCTAAACAGTAGCTGACCACTCGGCTCTCAGGAATTTTCTTGGAAATAAAGGACAGGCAGCAGGTGGAGGGAATAACCACCATGTCTAAAATGAGACAGAAAAACTGTGTCTTTTCCCAGGCTAACTTATATTCTGGGTTTGAGACAAGGAACCCAAACATCCCATTCACTGGCTACCTCTCATTGCTTCCCCACACCCCATTCTCCACTCTCCTCTGTGTTGATCCCGCCATGCCCTTGAAACCATGTCCTGTCCAGTCCAAGGATCTGGGACTGAAGGACTCACCTGCAAGTGTGATGCAGTGTGCACATGCAGTGCATGGTGCCCCCACCATGTCCTGGAGAGTAGGTACTGTAGTTTAAGGGTTCAAAGCTAAGGTGAAGGAGTGAAAGGGTTCAGGGCTGCTTTTTTCAGAGCACCCCAGCCTCCCACTCTCTGTTGTTTAGAGGAGTAGCTGGGGAGAAACATGCTGATCAGCCCCTCCATCCCTGTCCAGGCTTCCTTGCAAATCCCTCTGAGGCCTCTGTAGTCAAGAAAGGGGAAGGACTTGCCTGCCAGCTGTGCAGTGCTGTCAAGGGTGACTGTGACTTAGGGCCGTACAAGAAAGAGCAAGTGGTGAGACCAGCACACTACTCAGAGCAAGGGCAAATGCACGGATGAGTAGACAGAGGCTGGCAGGGAGCCTAGACTGATCTTTGTGCGGTCATGGGTATAACTCACTTCACTGAGCCTCAGTTTTTCAAGTTGTCACTGGAGTAAATAGAATCATCCTTATCTCCATCCATCCATCCACCATTCATCTATCTACCCTCCTATCTTCCCATCCATCCATCCATCCATCCATCCATTTACTCTCTTATCTTCCCATTCATTCTTCTATCCATCCATCATTCATCCGTCCACCCTCCTATCTTCCATCATCTATCTACCCTCCTATGTTCTCATCCATCCATCCATCCATCCACTGTCCTGTCTTCTCACCCATCCATCATCCATCCATCTTTCCTACCTTCACATCCACACTCCTATTTCCCCATCCATCCATCCATCCATTCACCCATCCACCTTCCCATCCATCTTCCCATCCATCCATCCATTCACCCATCCACCTTCCTATCTCCCCATCCATCCATCCATTCACCCATCCACCTTCCCATCCATCTTCCCATCCATCCATCCATTCACCCATCCACCTTCCTATCTCCCCATCCATCCATCCATTCACC